TGGTTCATGTAGGCCTATGTCAAATATAACACGAACGTATATGGAGTCAAATGTATATTTTTGTAAAATTTCTCAAAATAAGGTAACACCATGAGAAATATGAGATGTCATTAAGATTACAAGTGTTAACATTTGTTAATGTGGTGAGTAATTTACGATATTCAAGAAAATTGAGTTTTTACTTTCGCTGTCGAGCAGAAGTCTTGAGAAGCTAACAGTCGCTTAGATAACATCTTTCGGCCCTTTTATGAAAACTAAAGGTTGATTTCTGAGTTGACAACAGCACACCACTGGACCCTTTCCTAAACCGATAAATTAATTCTACATTTTCATACTTTATTTCTCTAAGATCAGTTTTGATATTATCCTGCCATCTACGTTTATTTTTCCCAAATGGTCTCTTACCTAGGATTTTTAATGTCTGTACTGTACATTTACAATAATTGATTTAAAAATGCAATAAATGAACATTATGCGCAATGTAGCTTGAAACATTTCAAAGAAATATTATTTTGTAAGATTCTGGTTCTAAAGCTCAGCACGTCCCTGGATTCATGTTTGTTAAATTGCTAGACTGTGTTGGTGTTGGCAGTAATGTTTGCCTTTGTGGCTATTTGTGGATAGATCCTAAATAAAAATTACTTCGCATAGGCAGATAAATTACTTATTGATAAGTTGTTTCCATTTTAAGTTTGCTGAATGTGTTGAAACATTTAGTAGAACACTTTGCATGGTGAGGGGACTCTACCTACACAGGATACCAGAAAACGTTACGCCCATTCATGCCCCGGGCGAGATCAGAACCCATGATCGTGGTGGTCGGGCGGTTCAAGGCCGTACGCGCTCAAAACCACTCTGTTACCGTGATTGGCAAAATTCAGAATGTATGACTTTTGGCGGAGTCGTTGAATGCACGAGGGAGTTGCGTTGTGGGCATCAAGCTCATGTGGGTTTTCCGACTCGTATTTACTTTATTCATTGTGGCAGGGTAAGTAATGGCACTAAGAAATCCAAATATGGCGATAAACGTTGTCGGGAATTCTCACAAGCTTATGCTCTTCACCAACTAAAATGCTGTTCAAAGTTTGTTCTCTATTAACACCCTAATGGTTTACCTGTTAGGAACTGCACCTTTTGCTTAGCTTCTATAGATGAGTATGCAGCTAAGGAAGTAGAAATCCAAAGGTGGCTTAGTTTTGTAGGTCCGGGAGGATTCATTAATGTCAAAAGCACTGTTAATAATATCTGAAAATTGGCTTTTGTAAATTACTGAATATCTAGAGGATTTTGCTATTGGGTTATAAGCTAAATGTCAGTTAAATATAGGCCTACACCTAACGCCCAATTTTGTTTCTTAGAACTGTTGCTTCGTAATCGGGGAGATTCCAAGTTCGAGGTTCGGTCCGGCTACCGGCTTTCCCGTTTTTACCTAAGGCCTCAAACTAGGCATAAATTAACAAGCGTTGAGGTCTTTAATTTAGTACTCATTTGTATTTTGGAGGTTCACGGTTCGAATTCGGCCCGGCGACGAGCTTCCTGAGAGTATTTATGGTTGACTTAAATAGGCCACTACCACACATATTTTCCGATTATTTATTCATAATCATACCACTTGAAATTACGCAACTTACGGAGTTGAACTAAGAATCAATTAAATAAGCTACCTAACGTGTTTAATAGGTGGGCAAAACGATATAGACAGTAGCGAACATAGGCTACTTTCTAAGGTCAAAAGCACTTTTGATCTCAAGCAGTACAAACCCATGAAAAGTTGGTAAATTTACATCAGAATTCATGGCAACATCCAAGAAGAAAGTCATCTTTACTGTTTATAGTTGTAACCCTTGGTTTATATAATTTTCTTTTTTTATAAAATTTATGTAGTGGGGGGCAGAATCCTAGAAATGTGTGTTTTATGTAGAAGGGAGAACTATTTTGAAAAGCAAGTAAAGATACCCTATATTATATTTTGTTCAATATATTCACAAATGAAGTACGTACGATGTTGGCATTTTCCATATCCTTTCTACTAATTATCGTCCGAAAGAATGCATATCCCCCCCTCCCGTGTTATCGTAGATATTTTAGGGTAAGGGATGTGTTCTGAATCCTAAACTTCCCAATCCTGTCTACTCCGAAAATGGGATTACACTAATGTCATTTACTTTCCTGTTCTATTTTCCCAACTCTGACTTCAACACTGCGCTCAACTTTTCCTTCATCTTTCTGAGAACTCCGCGTACCAAGAGCAACAGCTTTATAGGAGTTCCTTTTATTGTTGCGACCGGTGTGACTGTGTCTCAATGGAAGAAGTGTGGCCGCTAACGGGCTCATTGTTCAGCCTCCCAGTTGATGCGTGAGTGAATATGGAGTGATACTGACGGGGGAAAACCGAAGGACTCAGAGGGAAGCCTGCTCCAATGCCCCTTTGTCCACCGCAATTCGTAGGACTTGCAGAAGCAACATTTGATATTTGCGTTGCTGTGGTCCAGGTTCTGAGCAAATGTTTCTGATTGTGAGACCTGTAGGGAAGAGACTACTTGGAAGATCTAGACGTAGACGGGAAGATAATTTTAAAAAGTAGGGTGTGAAGTTGTATACAAGACTGCTGGCTTAGGATGGAGGCCAATGGCAGGATCTTGTGAATTGGTAATAAATGTTCTTGTTCCATAAAAGACGGCGAATTTCTTGGCTATCTGAGAAGCATTCAGTTCCATGGAGTTAGTCGATTTTGAGGAATTTTACAATTTCGGCTCAATGCTAAGTACAGATTTCTGTGGACAGATAGAGACCAAAATGAATAAATATGCCATCGAACCCCGTTGAGACGTTTGCGAGACAACATACGGACAGACAAGGTTTCATTTTGCATTCATTTCTGATGCTTCGTACTGTTTGTATATAATCCACTGTTGCGGTCAGTGCATGCCTGAGACTGAAGAGTCATCTTGTCCACTTGTCTGCACTAATCATTTTCTCACTGCCTTAAGCAAACCTGCCCATTTACCTTCATTCTTCACGTCAGGGCTGTCCACATTGAATGACCGGTTGTTTCGTTTCTGTTTCATTCATACCCGTCACAAATCTTGGCTGACTTGAACTCGGTATGACGTCATTAGGAAGTAAGATCATCTAATCAGTATTTAAACATACAGTTCTTACCTCAAAGAAAACACTACACTTCTTTACAAAGATAAGTTGGTTAATGTTTTAGGAAATGATCTTTGGTTTATAACAAGAATCATAAGAAACCAACAAATACACTTCGCATAGAATGCAAAGCTTGTGGTGCATGTAGGTACCGCTGAGCTTTAAAGGGATTATAAAGAAAACTATCTTTTTAGTTACTGCTGATTTCTTAAATGAAGTACACTGTTTTTTCTATATTATCATGGGTCTGCACCGCAGTAGAGCTGTACACTCCAACGATTAACCAAAAAGTGCGTCTCTCAAATGAATTACATAATCGCATTTCTATTACAAAATCGAGTTTCAAATAAAAGTACAACTCGTAACACTGGATATATAGGAAGAACTGATGAAAATTATTAAAGACTTTTAATCAATTCTGCGTGACTCCATTTCTACTTCTACATACACGTATTTTCCAGTTTACCATCACAAATCATCTTACCAGATCTTTGCTATGCAACCTACGCAGCTGAAAAAGCGTTGTTAAATAAACTAAGAATCAATAATCATCGTCTTCAACGGTCGGTTGCTTGTTATTACGCCCACAGAGTTTGGTTTTCTGCATGAACATTATTTCTTTTCTTAACAACGGCAGATGTTTGAACTTTGTAATGGAGATGCATTTGTTTTCTTGGATATGGGCACTGATATTTCTTTGCATTATTTATATGGGGTTTGCTCTGCTGGCCTAAAGGAATAAAAGATAGCGAATGCATAATTCAACGAATTGAGTGGAACGTTCTATTGCAAGGCTATTTAACTCCTTGAAGCCGAAGTTCATACAGATATTATTTAAGAATTTCATAATGTTTACTGAAGTCAAGATTCGGTTCTTCAGTTGTTTGACTTTGGACAACCCTCTGCCCAATTGAGATCCGGTTTTTATTTTGGGCATAGGAAATCAAGATGCTAGAAGGCATGATTTATGATGCAGAAAGAAATTTCTCAGTAATTATCAGCGATATAGCTGATTTATATGTAAATCGCTCGCAGATTTCTTTACGAAGTGTGAGAAAGTTAACTACAAATGAGAATTCTATATTTAACCGACCTTCTAAGAAGTGACCTTAAAATATTTTGTTCGCCTCCCAAGCCTCCTATACCATGAACCCAGGTTTTCCATTTTTTCTCAATTCACCTCTTATAAAGAGATTACAAAAAGCTTTGACTATCGGGAAATCTTCCATACGCAGTGTAATCTGAAATAAGATGCTTTCATCTAATCGATGTGAATGATTCCTAGACTATTGAACATCGATGTCCGAACTGCAGAAGTTATATGTAATGCAAGCCCGTCATATTTAGGCCTATTCACAAACTGTTACCATGAGATAGGAAGAAGGTCGTGCGTCCTGAGTAGGTGTGGGTTTGGGAGGAGGCGATGATGATCTATTTAATTGTAGTTGTGATAGTCGCTTAAAGAACCATGACAAGAAATAGCCAGATGATCGAGAATCTAATTGGTTACCTGCCGAATATAGGGAAATACATAACACGGGATTGAATGTCTTAATTATTTCGGGGTGAGAGATGTTTTGAAAATGAACTAGTGTGTTGCATTTTTATACGTTAATTTACAAGTAATGTGCAGGATCTATCTGCAACACCAAATCTCCCTTCAGGTTTATCATAACGCGAAACTGTAACACAGTCCCTGTAAAATATGTGGTATTTTACGATGTCCAATTTGCAGAATTAATAGCCATCTAGACATATTAAATTATTGTTACATTGCATCCTGTTTGCTTTTGATGTTCTCTTACAAATGTTTATTAAACCTGTTAATGTAACGCGTTTTTCTGTTACAGGTGGCATACATCGTGTGTAGAAACACTCAGAAATATCGACTTTCTCGTCATATCTGGTATGTATCCCTCTTATTACATGCAATATTTAACGTAGATATTTCCGTAATACTATTTAGAGTTTAACAGTTCAAAAGTGGTGTTGCTTGTAATGGAGGGGGGTGGGATGCACGTTATGAATATAAGCTAGACACGACAAGCTTGTTCACATATTCATAACACGTAATACAGACCTGGAGTATTCCAGTGTTTCCACATGGCAGCACGTAATTTTCTCACGACATATCAAACATCAGAATTTTTAAGTTATGTGTTTGTATAATGCACGATCTTTTTCATATATCGTTGAGATGTTCCTAATATTTTGATACATGCATTATAGTTCATAAAAGAATATAATAGGCCAACAAAAATCATAAACGAGTAATAGACAAGATGAGAGAAAGACTTTTGGGGCTTTTGACAATAGGGCGCTGATGAGAATATTTTGACCCAAGAGAAACTGGCGTATTTTTACGAAAAGGCGAAGTTGTTTCTGCCACCGTGAAGGCGTATGGGGGAGTGAAGGTAAATTACTGTGTATCCTTAACTCTACACTAGGTGGAGGTGAGTCGTCGTCAGCTTCATGCTTGGATTT